AAGGTGAGAAGATGTAGCCTCTCTCCACATTTACAGGGGTGCCCACCCAATAAAAATGTTTTCACAACTTAAAATCAATTCTTCTATCTCTTTTATTTTTCTTGTCCAACACTTAAATATCTATAATTTTAAAATAAATAAATAAATAAAAGAAAACCTAAAACCTAACTTGCTCATGAAGAAACCCTAGCCACTGTTAAATCCTAGTTCTTCCTTTATTTAACATTTAACTGTCAATTGTACTCCTCAATTTTCGCCAACTACAAAAGACACCAATACCCTAACTTAAATTAATAAGAGACCATATGACCTAAACATAATTTTGGTTTAAAACCCACCACAAATGAGTAGAATCAAGGATAATTTCTTTATCACTGATAAAATTTGATATTATGTATATCCTTCACAATAATTAAAAGTCCATGTACAAAATGGGACATCAGTTGTATAAACTAAACCAGAACTTTGTAATTACAAAAGTTTTTTTTTCCCACTCTACCTTTGGCGATGGATCAGCCTCTAGATTAGAGTATGTTGGAATGTCCAGGTACTGGCTACATGAAAATTTCTTCCCAAACGTAAGTACCTATTGACCCTCCACTCATGCACGTCCCTACTGGATGACACGTTGGAATCACCCTCAAATACAATTTCAATCAAGGATCACCCAAGCTTTGTAAACCAGTTAACAGGGCTCTCGCCTCTGCTATTTGAGTTCTAGTATGTCAAGGAGCCTAAATATGTCGAAACTATGACTGCAACACACACTGGTCCAAGATTATAGAAGGAGCTGCCATCAAATTTTAGTTTTAAGTAGATATCCCAATCACATGGGTAATTGTTTGCGGGCCACTCTCCTTGACTGCTGCAATCCAGCGCATATCAAAATCCACTCAAGAGATACCCCAGAATTCTTTCTTAGTCCTCAGTGCCCAACACAAAAAATGATAATCTAACTTTATCCTGTCCAATACTTAATCCAGCCTGTGACCGGCTGATTTAGAGGTCTAACGGTTGCTTTCAAGCCAAATAAACCTTGAGACAGCACGATGGTGCTTCTCCATAATATTACAACTCGTTTGGCAATGGACGGAAGAAACAAAAAGGATCAAGTGTTATCATAATCATCCAAGCCTTATCCTAACTAGTTGGGGTCGGCTACAAATTTGTTCCTCCATTCCCCTCTATCAAGGGTCATACCCTCAGTCATTACAGGGAATGCCTTAGCATGAGCATATAACATTATCTCAGGATTCATGAAAAGACTTGGTAAACTTTTATGTTAGCCGCCTACCTAACACAACCCTCCTCTCTCCAGGCTTGGTACCGGCATGATTGGCTTGGGACCAGCCATGGGTGGGCTTAGAATCAAGCGTAACTATTAAATAGCATAAAAATGGCAACTCATTATTCGTCATTAAATCACAACACAACTAGGCAATAAATCTATATATGACAACCAAGGATTCATCATGAATTTAAACCCAACGAGGGATAAAGACTTCAGCAAACCTCACCTTGAAAAAAAAATGGCCTAGTGAACAGAACAGTCAAGAACCAATGCGATAGCAAACAAGATTTGAGGGTGGGCAGAAAGGTCCTAGCTCAGATATTAGGTATCTATATAAAAATTTGCAAAGTTTAAATCAGATTCAACGCAAAGTTCCCAATGCAGAATTTTCATTTAGAAACTGAGCCAATAGTTTCACTTCCATCCAAGATTCCCAGGAGCACGATTGCCCCCAATCAAAATTCTATCACAATTTGGAGCGACATAGACTATCCTTTTAAGCAATAAAATGATTCAAACAAATAAGACTATCCTTTTAAGCAGCAAAATGATCCAAACAGATATTTCTCAATGAAAAGATAGCACCAAAAATAGATCGCCAAAGGATAACCAAGATAAACTTGACCCAAAATATTGAAATGCACAGGACTCCGCCAACAAACTATATTTATGCAATCTCCAACCATACCCAGGAAAACCTTACCACCTCAAAGTAGACAGGCATGTGCAAGACACGCAGATAAAATTGGTACAGAACTCACATAAACAATAGCAGCAATCCCAAATACAAGAGGAAAATAGTGTAGATAGAAGGCTACCAAGAAATAGATCTGAAAGCTGCAATCCAACCTTAAAATGCGCTATCTCCCCATCACAGTCAGCCTTTATCAAGTACCGGCAGATACTAGACGGGGGTGCTAGTGGCCCATGAGTGCATACACACTCGCCACTATTGGAAAAAACCGGGCTTAATTTTTAAGATAGACTGGGAGAAGGCTTATGACCATGTGGACTGGCCCATCCTCGACCTAGCATTGACGAGGATGGGATTCGGGGCGCGTTGGAGGAACTGGATGAGGAGATGCTACTCCAATCCTTTCTTTTCCATCCTCATTAACGGGACACCAAAAGGGTACTTCCCTTCCACTAGGGACCATCGCCAAGGTGACCCTCTCTCTCCCTTCCTCTTCACCGCGGTGGCGAAAGTATTTAGTCAGTCTATATCCTGCAGGTATCAAGAGGGACTCCTCTTTGGCTTCAAGAGCAGTAGGAATGGCCCGAATGTATCTCATCTGCGGTATGCAGACGATACGTTAGTCTTCCTGGAGGAAATCGAAAACCTCAGACCGTTTCTGATTTGTTTCAAGTATGCAACGAGGTTCAAAGTTAACATGGCCAAGTCCAAAATGATAGGAGTAGGCCTATCCAACAACCAAACGAGAAACCTCGTTCCTTCAGTGGAGGACCTGCCCACATCGTACTTGGGCATGCCATTGGGATTGGGAAAACGAAAGAAAGCCCAGTGGTCTCTTGTAATTGAGAGAGTAGACCGAAGATTGGCAGGATGGAAAGGTAGATACCTATCCTTTGCAGGGAGAACAATGCGTATCAAAGCAACCCAAGCCAACTCCCCCGTATACCTCATGTGGCTATTTCATATGTCAGCCTCAGTTGCTAAAAGCCTAGACTAACTTACAAGAAACTTCCTCTGGTCAAGTGAAGCGGCATCAAATAAGATCCACCTAATTGTGAGTGATAAAGCCTGTCTCTCGAAACATCAAGGTGGTCTAGGGACCAAAGTGCTCAGGACACACAACCTGGTGCTCTTAGATAAATGGTGGTGGAGACGGGCTACTCAGAACTACCAGCTATGGGCCCAAAGCAAGTATAGTAACCCACCAGACCTTTGGCTGCTTGAGGGTTATCCAACGACTAGGGGTTCGGCCGTATGGAAATCGTTACTCTCCTCCCTCCGATCGTTTAAACAACTCATCCGGTTCCATGCTAGTGGCGGGGATACATTACGATTTTAATCAGACCTCTAGTTAACTCCGCTAAGAGAACAATTCCCCTCCCTATTCGTTGTGGCAGTTAACAAAGCCTCCTTGGTCTCGGAGGAAATAGTAACTTAAGGCAATTGCAGAGTATGGAACCCATCTTTTAAGAGACAACTCACAAAAGAAGAAACATTGGAGAATGTCCCTCTCGGATTCCCTCCACTCCACCTTCCTCGCCTTCTCAGGTTCAGACTCCTTGGTCTGGACTCCCTCGCCAACCGGATCCTTCACGGTGGCCTCCTTCTACAAGAAACTGTTGCAGCCTTCTTTCCCCCTAAACCAGAACCCGGTGCTCTCCAAAGTTTGGTCATCCATAACCCCCCCAAAAGTGCAAGCCTTTCATTGGATTACGTGTTCCGAACGTGCACTTACTATAGACTTACTCCGGGGAAGAGCTGTCCAAACTCCTAATAGGTGTGTCATGTGCAACCTCCACTTGTTCATTCACTGTCAGATTTCCCTTCAACTTTGGAGTAGAATTATCCACGTTTTTGGAATATCTTGGGTTACCCCCCCTTCAATTCCGGCATTGACTTCCTGCTCCTTCGAATATAACGGGCCGAAATCGGACCGGATCCTCTGGAAAGCCTCTTAGCTACGATGTTGTGGACAATCTGGCTAGAAAGAAATTCGAGAATTTTCTGTGGTACCAAAAGCGAACTCCCAGCTTTGTTCCACAAGGTTACTTTGATGGTAATCTTTTGGGCTTCCAACCACAATCAGTTCACTGGGATTTCGGCAGCTACTTTTCTTCGCAACTGAGTGAATCTTATTCAACTAACCCCTCACCACAACCCAAGAATACCGTACTAGACTCCCCCCGTGGGTGATATCAAGTTCAATTTTGACAGATGCTCCTTGGGAAATTCAGGCCCAGCAGGCACGGAAGGAGTCTTCCGTGACCATCATGGTGAAGTCATTTCTTCCTTCTCAGAACACCTTGGTCACAAAGACTCACAGTTCGCAGAGGCCATGGCCCTAATGATGGGAACCAAGAAATTTAACCCTTCTTGGGGCCCACGACTGCACATAGAGGGAGATGTCAAAAATGTTACATCCTAGGCTGCTAGAAAGGCCCCACCTTGGTACCTAGCACACATTTTTTACAAAATTGAGTATACTTGCAGGGGTATAAACGTCTTATGGACGCATATTTGAAGGACGTCCAACAACTTCACAGATTGTCTCGCCAAGGAAGTCGCTAGGAACCAGCCTTCTACACATGTATAGACGCACACAACAGGGAATTCTATATCATTAGCACGTAGGGGAGGGGAGACCTCCTCTTTCTAAATTGTAGTCTTCTAACTTGTAACGGGCAGATTATATAAGCCCCTATCTTTTGCCTCACTGGTGATGTTAGAGCTAGTCTTCTAGAACATGTCACTCCCTAGTGACCAATTTTTGGTTGAGAGACCCGGTCTGTGGGTTAACTCGACCCTTACTCTTGTAAAAACTCTTACTATTATAATATTTACCGTTAACATTGACACACACACAAAAAAAAAAAACCCATAAAATACTTCAAATAGTGCACTTAGATAAACTATGATAAGATAATACTTAACCACTTCGCATAAAAAATGATGAATACAAGAACTTGCATAGAAAATGTAAGGACACTATATATTTAATTGATATATATAATATACCTCTCTAAGTTTCCCAGCAATGTCTTCAAGAAATCCCATATCAGGATGAACAACAATCATCTCCCTGCAGCCAAAAAAACAAAAGAAATGCAAGCTATAAAATTGCCCAGGAAAAAGAGTTCCCAGCTGCAAAGAATGTAATAGTGAGACTTACTTCAGGGGTGTTTTCAGAGGCTGCTTGTGGCGTTCCCTTATGTTACGGGCTAGATCAATAACAGTCATCATCCTTGTCACACTTAGTTCAATGCGTTCCTCAATCTACAGTAACATTAGCAAAATACAAATTTTGTATTCAAAGGATAGACCCAATTATCTCACTATATAGATGTCATAAACAGTTCAGTTCAACAATGCCCATAAAAGACAAAAATAGAGGTTGATAACACAAAACAGTACCTGTCCTCCAGCTTTAGGCAAACTACAATGATGAATGCTTTCCTCAGATTCACTGCTAACTCTGCGCAAATTCTGATAAAGAACTTCCGTGAAGAAGGGAGTGAATGGAGCCATTACCTTGCATGTGGTCAAAAGCACCTATAAAAGCCAACTAAAATGTTAATTGCACGTAATTGAAAGTTAGCCAACTTTAGAAGATAAAACCCTCAATAAGAGTCTTCAGGTTACACAGTGACCATCGTAGAAATCAACATGCATGAAATTGCATATTAATGAAAGTTTGTTACAATGTTTACTATGAAACTGTCAGCAATTGATACAAAACAACACTTGATACTGAACAAGTTGTTGCTGAAGATGTAAATATTGTAAAGAAATGAAGAAATTTACAAAAATAATGACCATAATGAGCATAAGCATTGTAGGCATCGCAATGTTAATTTTAAAATGCCCCTGCATGTACAAAGCTACTTTTTTTTTTTTGTTATAAAAAGAAACAGCAAGAGAAAGTATTCATCAAGAAAATTCCCTGAACCATTATGAGTGGACATATGGTAGGGCAATCCTTCTTAAAAACAAATGCCACAAAACATTACCCCTGGTCACCAAAGAACAACATAAATGCCAATGAACAAGGAAAGCATTAATCAGGCTATGCCGATCACTTGGCATAGACGTGGAAGCATGCAGACTACTAAAAGTATAGTTGGTGACTACAGTCACAATCGTTTAACAAAATATCAATTACCCCAAAAAACAAGAAAATTCATATAATCATATATCCAATGATTATGGTTATGGATAGCGATCCCGGTTAAATAGGACAGAGATCCCATGCTCAATGGGATTTAGACCCATATATTTAGGTGCAAGCTCCCAAGGAGGATCAGCTCTTACAGCACAGAACCATGTTCCTGGAATGGGACCATCCCCTAGTGAAGGCGCCCCCCATTTATGGGAGAAAACCAAGGTTACGGATTTGGTTAAATAGATTGGACAGCTAGGTTAAGAGTTAAAGTCCACCTAGGAACTGGAACCAATGTGTTTAGAATTCCGGATTTTGTTAGCACTAGAATGATGGAGCAGTTAGGGTTTGACTACTGGGGGACTTGGCGATTCGAATTGGATTAGGACTCGAAGGAATGAGAAATTAGAATGGAAATAGGATTGGTATTAGATTTGGAAAGGACTCTTACTGTGGGATAAGAGCAGAAGGGGGACTAGGCGTATTTTTTTTTTTAAAGAATGTAACCTTAAAAATGATAACAGTTGCACACTTATTTGTTGAGATAGGAATGAGAACAAGATCTGGAGAAAGGCATCATTAATTTTCAGAACCGCCGTAGTAGAGAAGTACCATGGGAGTGCCCCTATACGAAATATGTTTTTTGATACTGAAATTTATTTTAAGAAAAAACTAAATTAGACTTGGAAAAACTCAGTAAAATGGTTTTGATTCTCAAATTCTCTTTCAAGTTTCCAACAGAATAGGAATGAATACAGAATGTGTTCCTGCTCTCAAACAATGGAACCATGTTCCAAGAGTGGGAGCACCACCTAAGATGCAAGCTCCCAGCAACAACGGCTGTAGGATTTCATATGAACGGGTTGTCGTTAAGGATTAGAAGGCAAAAGGTATGGTTGGGAAGAAAGAAGTGCACCTGAATTAAGAGGTTAATGGGCATGAAAGGTTGCTGGTTTGGCAGGCTCAGCTAAAGAGGATGGTAAGAAGTGGATAGTATAAGGCAGTTAGGTGTTATAAAAAGAGCTATGTTGTTCGTATTGCATTCTCAACAGTATATGGGTGAAAAGCATTGGTTTTAGAGGAGTTCAGATGCAGAGGAAGTGAGTTATCTGATATAGAAGAAAGAGGAATGGTAGGACAGAATGAAGGTGGCGTGAGACAAAGGGGTTGAAGGGATCATAGGGTGGAATGAACAGAATTAGTGATGGCTGCAGAAAAGAGGGAAGGAGGCCCTAATTTACTAGAAGGAATTACTCCAACCAAGAGTTAAGGTTGTGGAATCACACTAAAAAAAAAGGATTAGAGGAATCACTCCTCTCAAGATGCTTCTAACCAGCAATTCAAAAAAAAAAAACCTTCTCAAATAAATATTGTAGGTCATAGGCCTAAACAGTGTATTTACATAACTTCAAAACCAGGAATCCTAAAACACTTGGGCTTGGGCAATCTAATGACTTGACAAATCCTAGACAAGAATTGGAAGCTTATCTAAAGACAACCTAAGCAATACGGGAAATAAAGAAGCAATCCTAAACTGATTACAAAGCCAGCACTTTCAATACATAAAGAACGTACTCCAGTCTCAGAAACCAAAATAAAAGAAAACCTAACCCTGATCAAGATGAAATAATCCCCCGCCCCAACCCTAGCAACGCTCTCTCCCGTTCTCTCACTTAAGCAATATAGGCAATCCTAAACTAAGTACACCCCCTTCCTCTCCTAAACTGGCTACATCTCCCCCAGCCTCCCTCCCCCCTGCACTCCCTCTCTCACACACAAAATCCAAACTATTTGGGAAAACCATTCACAATCACATGCTAACTAATTATAAATCTGTATAAACAAGCTCTAGAATTGTTTTACAGAAGAATGTTGAACAAAAAAAACAGATTAGAAAGTGATTAGAATGCAAACTATTCTAGGAGATGTGAGTTACTTCAAGTGGAAGGCTCAAAAAGGGGTAGGCCCAAAAGGATATAGTTTGAAATAGTGAGAAAAGATATGACGACTTATGGCTTCATTGAGGGTATGGCCCTTAATAGTGCCGAATGGCGGATCAAGATTCGTGTAGCCGACCCCAATTAGTTGGGGAAAAGCTTTGACGATGATGAGATTGCAAACTATTCAATACAGAAATATAATATATCATAATATCAATGAATTTTATCAGTCCAATACTCTATGGAATATTTTATTTGAAGTTCATAATAACATATAGGAAGATAAAAAATAAATTCAAATACTCTGGAAGAAAAATTCCATACATGGTACAGAGTTGATAATGCCATTCTGCAGTCCTCTTCTCCAGTGCGGCCTTTTAATCTATTGCGGTTAAAGCGGACATATATATTTGTCAGGTTGTCAATAAATTTGAGGAGGTAGGGAACAACCTGTTAAATGGACACGAGTCTTGAGATTTCAAAACCCATCATCTCCATATTCCATCAAAATTAGAAATTGCTAATGACTTAGGAGGCATCCTCTCCCAGAAAAAAAATACTATCTTACAGTGTACAAACGATATGCATCCATTTCTTGCCGAACAAAGGAAACAAGACTCCCAGTTGCTGAGTTGATCCACTGATCAAGTACATTCGATGACATCTGAAGAGTAGCTTGATCAAAGGGTGCAAATGGTGCAAGACCTTCAATCTCAAGCCTCTTCGCATTCTGAACAAGAAACCTATATGCATTGTACCATGGAAGGAAGACATCTTTTACCTGGAGGACATTGCGTGGAAATTCATATAGCCAAGAATGAAAAGTAGCATCACAAAACAAGCATAATCTAAATACAGAGGCTTAGTCCTCTCAAACTGTATTTGACATTCAAACTTCCATGGAAAAGATACTCACAACACCATATACTCCATCCTTCTTGAATCGCAAAGGTTCTGCACGCACAACTGGTGAATTGATGAGGTATAGTCTTAAGGCATCCTGTCAATGCAGAAAAGACAAAGTATGAAGACCAGAGAGAAACATGCACATTTAATGTCTTTATAACAAAATAAACAAAAATCACCACATGCCCAAAGAAAATTAAGACAACATAAAGCCCAATTCTACAGAGAAGAAAAGAATCAGCCTTTATCACATATTAAATATGTAGGATTAAACTGCCTTCACGGGATATAGTGTCTTTTTTTGGGTATTGAACAAGAGTTATCCTACAATTATTCACATCATAAGTGTATGTATTTACCCATTTAAACATGTAATCATGCATAACCATGTAGACACAACGACCAGCACACGTCATGATTAAATGTCGATAAATAAATAAAAGATCGCAGGTGGATGCCCGCACAGGAAACACAATGAGATGGAAATGCATATGCACGCATGCATGTATAACTTCAAATTTTTAATCAACAATTGTGTCAATGCATATGGAGATAAACAAATCCACACAAAATAGAGACTGAAGGAGGGAGGGAGAGACAACTTGATGGACTACTTTCATTGGAAAATAATTAGTTAATCACCACATGGAGCACCATATCCCAGATTTGCACCCCATAGCTAAACTATCTAAAAATAATAATTACCATATAAAGGCATTGATATTGCAGTGTTCAAAGTAGCACAATTTCGAAATCATTTTAAGCAACCATAAAAGTTCAAAATAAACTTAGTCTTAACAAAGCCATCTTACAAACCATATGAATATCTAGAGAAGCCAATCACATATAAAGAAGCACACCTTTTTTATCGGTATGTAGAACAAAGCATTAATTAAAGCAATGCAATCAGAACTTACAGCCCCATAATCATCAATAACTTCCATAGGGGAAGGGTAATTTTTCAATCTTTTGCTCATCTTCTTTCCATCTCCAGCTAAAACAAGGCCATTGCATATAAGGTTACGGAAGGCAGGCTTTCCAAATAAGGCCGTTGACAGAACCATCATAGTGTAAAACCTACAAGGACACCATAATGAAAAACAATAGACAAGTTAAATGTAAGATCATATCAGTTAAAATAAAATTTTGTCTAATGCATTGATGTGACTAGGATTCTGAAGACCCGCCAATCCAAAACTCATAACAAGAACACAGGCACAAGTCACTCAAAGTTTGAATCATGTCAATAAACGCAGTTAACAATGTTAACTTCCAATCACGCAACTAACGTAACAGAATCCGTCTTGTAATGTGTGACAGAATAGTCAGACCAGCAATCATTGAAAAAGAACTTAAATTTTCAGCCAGCGAATAAAAACTCATTTCCAGTAGGTAGAACTCACCAGAGTCAACTGGACTCACTAGGTTGGAAGCCCTACGTATGAAAAACTTGAAGTTTATTGGTGTGTCATATTATACACAATTTTATATTTTAATTGGACAACTACATAGAGTTCCCAAAGTGGTAGCATTGTGGCATGCCTAATGTGATCAGATGGGTAAGATACACATAAACGACATTCTATTTTTCTCTATTCCTCACACAACATGTGATGAGATGGGTAAGATTCATGTATTTTTCTATTTTGCTCTGTCCAATAGAGTATAACCAATCTTACAATGGTTCAATAGAACTCTCCCTTCAGTTTCATTGGTATATGATGATCACATAAAACTCCACAAGCACATCTCTACTTCGTCTTTCTCTACTTCCTCAATCTCTCTATTCTCATAGAATATCGACTCAAGATATCAAAAGCAATATATTTCAGGTACTTCTTGGCCATCAATCTTAACTTGTATTTCATATATTTTGTCTTAGTCCAGCTAATTTTAAAATCTTTAGATTCTAGAGCATCCCTCTAAAGTTCGAACTTTGCATTGACATTGTCTCTAGTCTCATCAATCAAAACTGTGCGATCCACAAAGAACACATAAAGGTACCTCACCCTACAGATCCCTAATTAATTTGTCTATAACCAAAATAAAGAGATATAGGCTCAATGTTAACCTCTGATGCAGGTCAACTATTGCTGAAAACTCAACTGTCTGTCCACTAGTTAGTGCTTCCTCGTATATATCACTCACCATGTCAATATATTGAAAGGTGGACTATGTGACCGGGCAAGTCAATACCGATTAAAAAAAAAATTATCTTTTTCTTATGGTATGGCCACCCAAATCACTCACAAGTGTCGAAATACAATATAAACCAAATAAAATTGCCAAGAATTCTCACTTGCTTTCCATTAAAACAAAATGTATATAAAATATGCATTGGAATAAAGTAAGCAAAAAACAAGAAGATATTGCATACCTTGCCTCAGGTTACCCCCAAGGACATCGTACACCCCACACCGAGTCTCCTCCACCAATGGTACATGGGATCTTGGTTCAAGATCTCATCTTAAAACTTGGGAAGCCTAGGCAAAACCAGCAAAGAGCATAACATGGGATATCCTCAACCAAGGCTCAACACATGAGCATAAGACAAAGACCTAGGGCTAGGCTATGTGCCTTGGGTGTGCCACCCCTTAGGGTCTGCTTTCTTTCTTAAAGCCTAATCTTAGAGAGAGAAGAAGAGAGAAGTTTAGTTATGGGTGTGCCACCCCCTTGAGGCTCAGAGATAGAGAGAGAGAATTAGGGTGTAGAGAATCGAACCCCCCCCCCCCCCCCCTAAGCTAATTTTTATAGAATAAAGGCTAGGGTTTCTAAGGTTAGAGTTTTACCATCATTATGAGATTTAATCTTGACCTTTGATCTTCGAGATTTGTGGGATGAAGAGATATCATCCATTCATTTCTTAGATCAGCCATCATGATTAAAGGAATAAAGTGGAACCACTATCTCTCAGTTTCCATAACTTCATTCCATCAAATATTGTGTAGAGAAAGTATATTTCTATCTATTTATTTTCTAACACTTTCCCTTTTTGAAAACAATCAAAATGTCTACATAAAAGATTTCCTAAAAGTTTCAAGCCAACACATGGCTTAATTGCCATATTTCAATTTAGAAAAGTATGGAGGAGGTGGGGCGTAGGACCTATAGGGTGACCACGTGGACCCCATGCCCACTCATAGGGTGACCACGTGGGCCCCATACCTCATATATTGGTGGGCCCAATGGGCCCCCAATGTCTTAAACATTATTTTCAAAAAATAAAATAATTTCATAAAACCTTTAAATATTTTACTTTCCTTTGATTAAAATAAATCCAGAAAATTAATTTTTTTCTTATTCAAAAATTATTTTTCAATAAAATAAAATACCTAGAGAGGTCTAAAAATTCATTTTAATTATCTTTAAAAATATTTAAAAAAATAGACTAAGGACTCCATCCTCTCTAGAGATCGTATTTCACTACACCTTCTCAAACTGGGCCAATAGTTCCCATAACCCACATCCCTTCGCAGGGGTTCATGATTGGACTATCAAAGTCAGCCAATAAATGAAGGAGATACGATCCTAATTCATAGATTGGGGACAAGGTCGATGAAAGTGGAGTCCATCCGCTTATGAAGTACCCCATAGCACTCTAAGAAAAAAAAAAAAACCATGATATATTGGGCAAGGGTATCCCAAAACTCGTGAGATAGGGCAATGCAGAAGCCATTGGGTCCAAATGCTTTGTCATGACCTGGATAGGCCAATTTTGTTTGGATTTCCTCCATTGAAATTGCTCAAGTCAAGAAGCCTGCTCACCCATGATATAGATATAAACTGAAGGTTCATTCAGGACTTCAACCCAGGTTGGGAGGAGAACAAGGTCTGAATGAACCCAATGACAACCCTTGGTATTTCTGCTAGTGCTTCCATTGGACAATCCTCATGTATGATTTGGGCAATAAAATTTGCTCCTCCTGCAATGGCTACCTTATGAAAGAAAGTCATGTTTGTATCACCCTCTTTCAACTATTTAAATTGGGATCTTTGAGACCAGATAAGTCCTCCTTTTCCAAGATTTTTGGAATTCGCACAGCCACAATTCGTATAGTCCTTTCATCCTGAGATAGATGGCGGATTTCCTCAGATAGGTCAAAGTGTTCAATTTCTCTCATGGTCTCATTTTCGCCTCTAAAATTACCAAGATGGTGGTGACTCCAATATTTCAAGCAACATTTTAGTAATTGAATTTTTTTGGAGAACTTAAAGGTAGCCTACCCAAAGAACAAGAAGGAGGACCACTAAAGAAGAATCAACCAATTAAGTTCAGCCTCCTCTGGCCAAGTCAGCTCACATCGAAAGGGCTTAGGTCCTTTAAAGCCATGCGCGTATGTAGAAGCACGGAGCAATAGGGTTCAAAGCTTGGTTCGATCATGTGAAACAAGGTTGTTAGAATTGGACTAGACCGGCTGGTTCACACAGCAGACCGGTACCCTTCTCAATCTAGTCAGGGGGCCTGAAGCGCTTGGTATTGCAAACCAATCGTGGTCCAGTGGACTGGCCTGCCTAATTAGACCGATGCCCACACTGGATCGAACACAAAATTGTGTGTAAGAGGCTCCAAAGAGCAGCATCTCATCAAACCATTTTGAAAAATGAACTCTAGGATTCCAAACAGACTCATGGTGATATGTGCATAGGCGTTTTTCTTGGGTGTCCACCTTGTGACATTGAAATCTCCCCCTATGCTCCAAGGGAGGATTGCAAGGCAAAGACGGCATCTAACTATGACTAGAACTCTTCCCTAAGGTTTAGTCAATTAGGGTATGTTCCCACCATAAGCCATGTGTTCCACATTTTCATGTTGTGAATTTCTCAAAAACAATAAGGTAGGGGATGACCCATATGCCCTAGAAGGTCCTTGAGCAGAAAGAGTCTCCCCGTCATAGGTCGGTGGTCCTAGACCATGTAGACAAGTGGGAGACTTGGATGGTAGGACTTCCTCTAGATCACCGACAAGAAATCAAGGCAAAGAAGTCACGCACTTCTACATTTTTACATGGCCCACCGAGACCATACCAAGATCTTCATATCATTCATTAGTGGATGGGGTGAAGAGGGACGACATATGAACCAGCATCTCGACAACTAGGTAGGGAGAGCTTGGTGTGTGTGGATTCCTTGAGGAACTCCAGCTTTCCCATAGGAGATGTTTGTGTGCAAACCTTTCAACTCTAGGGGTCTGTCTGACAACTGGAAGCTGGTGTTATCTAGAACTTGGAAGTTCTCTCCCTGGGAATCTGGATAATCTGGCTCCTAATATTAGAAAGCACTGTGTTTGGTAACTTGTCAGGAATTTAGACGGAGCCTGAAATCCTGTGTTTGGTACCACCTAGAAGTTATCAAACCTGAAGACCTACTAATTATTAACGCATACATGAATCAAACTAAAGAATGTAAGAAAATTCAAACATAAAAACCATCAAAAAGGAATAAAATTTGCTAGATAAAATTAAATACAACCATCACATATATCCGATATAGATAATATGAAAGAGAGAAAATATGTACAAGAAATTACAAATATCACTAACAATCAAAGAGAAACCACAAAGCCGAGCTTACAAAAACCCAACACACCATTAAAGGGTCCTACAGTTTGCTGGTTTATGCAACTTTTAACAGATTTTTCATGTTCAATAATTAAAATTGGGCATCTTGTATCCTTGCTTTATGCACTTTACAAGAAATAAACACAACAAAACGGTAATGAGATGGTTCGTGGGATATTCACACAACGATAAAACCAAGTAAATCAGAAGAATAGAGTGAACATTAATAACAAAAGGCAACAATAAACAGATTGCAGTAAATCAAAAGAAACAGTGCAAATATTGATAGTAAAGCCAACAATTAACAGATTGCAATATGTAACTTCCACCACAAAATAAGGGTGATGATGCTATTAACCTAGATTTACATATAAAATTGCGGATTAGGCAAGAACAATAACACTTAGCCGAATGTGACTTCCTCTACAAAATCATAGAATCCAAATCATGAGAAACTTAATTGCATATCACAAATAGGAATAAAAACTAGACCTCAAAGATGTTAAAAAAAACAATTGA